GGTCGTAAACGATCGTAAATTTCCAGCCAAAACAGTATTTTTCTTTCACACCAAACCAGCCAGCAGTAATAATCCACTATCGTATACGATCGTTTCAGCCCCAGCCAAACAGACTGTCTAGCTGATAAGCCGGCTGATAAGTCAAAGCAAACATGCCCCAAGGGCCAATGTTCGGTCATGGAGTTTCTTCTTTTTACAGCATATAAAGGGCCAGTGTTTAGTAAAGTCACTTCACTAAGGAAATAGAACACAGTACGTTGAGTTTAAAGGCCAACTTTAATAAAGTCACTTTATAAAGAAATGTAGTATAATGAGTGAAATCAATCAATTAATTGTGATAGTGAAATATACCTAGAAATATCATGACTTGAAAACAATTAGAATTTAAAGCCAAAATGAATGTGTGGAGAAAGCTTGGTGGTTTGATACACTGTTTCACAAATTGTCTCATTTTCTTGTTTGAATTACGTAAATATTGAATACTAATTCCTTCTCATTTTAACAAAATTAAGTTTCACAAATGCAGTTATATCTCCTTCATTTGTTTTGTAGGTATATTTTATTTCTTAGGTCTAAGGGTATTTAGGTATAATGCAAAATATTCGGGTATCGATTTTGTAGGATATTTCCTGGAAAACTCATGCAGTCATGTGTCAGAGTGAACAACCCAGTGGAACTTTTATTCTTTTCTCTCATTAATAATTCATGTCGTGCTATGTAATGCACTACAAGAAGTCAAGCCATCTGTTGCTTTAGGTACTTGCAAAGGACTTGATACTGCTGTCTCAGACTACAAGCACGAGCAAATGAATGAACCACGAGCATGTGCAAAGTCAAGTGCAAATGTTAGTACTTCATTGAAGCTATTCTCTCTTTCGTTTAAGCTTATTCAGAACTATTTTTTAGCCATGTAACAATGTTTTTCTCTTACAATATTTTACCATAAACATCAGCATAAGCTAAATTTCAGCATCAACAAACTAGGTTGTTTTGTTGCAGCCTGTTTTATGCTGATTTGAAGGAGACTAATGTGTGGTACTATTTGTATATTTCTACAGGAGTAAACAAATTGTGCCTCAGATTGAAACGAAGAATGTCCCCCTGATTCATGTCTCATTACATTTAGTGGACTATAAGATTACTTTCTCTGGATAACAGCTGAAATTATGATCCAGTAGTAGGTGAGGTCCATAGTGTTTGGAGTTCTATCTGGACTTGTTCTTGTGATGAGTTGAGGCTAACATGAATTGTAAATTCTTAACTTACTTCTGACTAGAGTCCTTGCTTCGATAGTGAATGAGATGTGGCAACTACTAGAATTGTTTAATAACTTTAAGACTCAGCTAGATACTCTAAGCTGAGGGTGTTTATGAGATGGATAGCCCACTTGTAAGCTGAAGTGTCAAGAAGCAGTTGATTTGGTCTTTGTCAGACCAGCTTAATTGACCCTCTCCTAGTGGTTACAGGTTTTGAACAGTTCGAATGTTCAATGGTCAGTTTTCTTGAGCTCACTGAAGCTGTCGCCGGAGCAGGTTTCTTGCTGTCTGCTACCTGTAGAATTGCCAGCTGGGGAAGTGCTGGTGGAAGCTGCAGGGAAGATATTTTTGGGTTGAAGAAATGTCTTTCTTCTTGAGGAGAGCCTAACAATCTTGTGGTTAAGCAAGGTTATAATTGATGACACAGACTGAAGACCAGGGCCGAATTTTTTGCTTTTTGTCCTTTTTGTTTTTGAAAGATTTTCACAAATACGTCCTTAGCGGTATCCTTTCAACAAATAGACCGTGACTTCGGCGCCGTGACAATTAGCGCCGAGCTTACACATCTCGACGCCAAATGCTTTGGCGCCGAGGTCCAGGGTCATTTTCTGCGTGTCGTTGACGTGATTGCATACGTGACACTGACGTGGCATGAGCTCGGCGCCAAGCTCTGGAAAATATATACTAGCCTGTTGGCCGGCCCATGGTGATAAACCTATCACAGTCTCGCACTCTCTCTCCTTGTCCCCATTTATGAGCCATGATGTTGCCTGCATAGCCATGGTATTTATTGGCGCGCGTCCAGCTCAAGGAGGGGGCGATGCGATGTGGGCGGCAATTTTTTTTTCATCAAACAATACAATGAGGCAGGCACTCTCGAATGGGGGCTTTGACCGCACATCGCCAATGCTCTCTTTCGAGTATGGGCTTATGGGTTTATGGCCCGAGGTGACAATCGTCAGCTGGTCACTCGGGCCTCTGCCTGACTAAATGGAACTATAGTACGTCCGGGCGGCACAGTGTAGGGCTCGGCTCCTACAGCATGGCGGGGCGGTGCTGGGCTTGGCTCCATGCATCTATTGCGTTGCTAACCGGAGTAGTCTACAATATGGCTAAGTTTAGAATTTATGACCGTGACTAAGTCTGGTTTTTTACTGTGGCTAAGTCTAAATTTGATGAGACTTGTTTTGTTGTCATCGCCTCAGAGAGTATTCAAACTCGCAGTAAGGTATCAAATTGAGTTGCTATACAAATTTGAAAGATAAAATGTCACAAACATGTCAATTCACTGTTGGCGATCAGGGACTTGGAAAGATTTGGAGCCAAAACAACACTGTATTCAAAATTATAGTCACTGTTTGGCATGTTAAAAACTGATTTAGGTTTAGGTCCAAAAGTAAAGTTTGTTGTACTCAAGTCAAACTACAACTTATATTAAAGGTCAAACTTCATATCTAGAAAAGAAACTATAGTTTTACCCTGATCAAAACAACATCATGAAAAAAAGAAGTTAACTATTGATTCGACACTTAGAAACATTTTTAGGCTAGTTCATAAACATAAACCCTAGATTATTTTTTATCTTAAGTATTTCTAGATTGTTTTAAGTGATCAAACAGCAAGTCACTATAAAAACTCTACAGTTAGCCACATTTCTCAATATCCAAGTCATGGTAAAAATTCATATTTGTTAATTTTCAGAGCTTGGCGCCGTAGATCTTAGCGCCCACGGCGCCGAGCTCATGCCACGTCCGCGCCACACAGGTAGCCACGTCAACGACACGCAGAAAAGGACCCTGAACCTCGACGCCAATGACCATGACGCTGAGACGTGCAACCTCGACGTTAGTTGCTACGACGCCGAAGCCATGGTCTATTTTTTTGAAAGGATACCACCACTAGGGGCGTATTTATGAAAATCTTTCGAAATTGGCAAAAAAGCAAAAAATTCGCAGACCAGGGAGGGTTTCAATATAAAATGTTCTAAAATATGTATTGTGAAAGTTCAGCTTTCATACAACAAACATCGATAATTTGTTAGATTAATGAAATGCCGCTTTATGATGATCATCAATTCCTTTTGGGTGTTTTTTTTGTCCATACAATTTTATCTGTTATTACCCCCCGTATCGATCCTTCTACTTTTTAAAGATTCCAGTCTCTGACAACGATGAACTCACCTATTCGGACATCGAGCAGAAACAGCTTGTAGATTGCGGGGGCCCCTGATCGTGGGGACGAAGAGGTCGACACCTTCACTTCAGTTCGTGCAAGCTCAGCGGCAGCACAGCTGTTGCAAGCCACGGCACAGTTCAACTCACTGGGCATCGAGGAAAATATTCCTTCCTCCTTAAGAGAAGAGAAATCAATCACATTGACAGACGCCATCAGCGACGTGGGGGCCCGTTATCGACAAGCCATCAACACCTCGTTAATGGCGATCTCATCTCGAAGCAATTTTTATATTTTATATATTTTAAAATATCACCTAGTGGCGATGGCGATCAATCATGCACGCCGCGCAGCTGCTGAAGATATCTCTATAGGTGTGGGGTACCCGTCAGGACGTTTTCCGAGCGTGCGGCGTCCACCCCACCGACACCACAAGGCCGCCCTGGACCACGAGGACAAATCAGTCAAACAGCGGGTGGCGCGCATGCCGGGTCCCGCTCCCGCCCCACGGTCACGGCGCCAGGAGCACCACCTCCGCGCGCACTGGTGGACCGCGGTCCGCAGCAGTGGAAAACCATCCCGCTCCCACGCGGCCACGCTACGTCCCACGTCCCCTAGACGCTGTCGCTCGTGGCGAGGGGAGGGGAAGGAAGACTCGTGCTCGTCGTGCGCGACTCCGCGCGCGCACTGGTGGACCACGACGTGCCGCCCGCGCGGGCAAAGCAGGCGCGCGGGGACGTCGCGCTCGGGGGCGGTGGGTGGTTTCCCGGGCGACTTTTCTAGCGGCTGCCGGTTCTTCGGCTGTTGCAGGCGGCACTACTGTTGGGTGCTAGGTAGTTTGACGCTGAAGCTGCTGAGCTAATCGCGTCGTCGCCGGGTGTTGTCAGGTCAGGTGGTTGGACCTTGGACGGGACGTTGACGTCACCGCAACACGAGACATACCGGGGGAGTTTCTAGACACGGTTCACCAATAGCTGTACTCTTCGTTTTAATATAATGGAGTAACGTTTTAATTAATTACTTCAAAACGGAGAAAGTCGGATCCACTGTGAACTCGTCAAAGATGTCATACTTTCAAGCCAGTTTGACAAAATCTGGAAACCTTCAATTCGCAAGTAAGTCGAGTGCGACTACTGGTTTTTCTGTTTTCTTTTTTTAAATAAAAATAAAGGAGAACGAGTTCGAAAAAAATAAAAATAAACGAGCACGAGCTTTTTTTTTGGCGCTAAAAGAGTACGAGTACTGTTGCGGCAGCTGCGAACCTTCGATCCGCGCTCAGTACGCGTGGGACCCAGGCGCTTAATGGCCCCACGTGTCATGGCAGACAAGGCGTATAATTAGGCGCAGCAGATCCGGGATTAATTTAGGCGAGTGAGAGGTGCACGTCGAGGAGCCACTTTTTCAATTTTCGGGGCCGTTTCTTCGTCATTTTTTCCTCTCTGTTCCTCCTTCCTCTCGCTCGCTTCCCTTCCCTGCTCCCCTCCTCCCCAAGCTCCCCTTTAATCCTCCATCCGCTCGCGCCAATCTCTTCGGCCGGGGGGCAGGGATCGGGGTGCCCGGCCGCCGCCCGTCATGATCTCCTGGCGGCGCAGCGCGTCCTGGTTGTCGTCGGCGTCCCGCTCCTCGCTCGGCGCTGCCGTCGGCGGGGAGGCGAGGGTCACGCCGGAGGCGGATCCGGCGGCCCAGGAGGAGGAGGAGGACGAGGCCGACGAGGAGCGGTGGTCGCGCCTGCTGCCGGAGCTGCTCACGGAGATCATGCGGCGTGTGGACGCCGGCGCCGTGCGCTGGCCGCCGCGGCGCGACGTGGTGGTCTGCGCCTGCGTGTGCCGGCGGTGGCGCGACGCCGCGGTCTCGGTCGTGCGCCCGCCGCTCGAGTGCGGGAGGATCACCTTCCCGTCCTCGCTCAAGCAGGTGAGACACAGACACCACCGGGCCGTAACGTCTCGTCATAGTAATACTGGCTCTTTTGATCTGTTTGTGTAAATCACCTTTATCTACATGGCTCGAAATTGCTGTGTTCTGGAGGATTTGGGGCACATGGCTATTGTGGCTGTGCGTTTTCTTATTACGAATTTCTATCTTAGAAAATTACATAATTGGAACTTTAATCGTCCACGCTTCGCAGTTTTGTCTGAGCGACTTCGTAAAAATAGATATTTTCTCCCTTTTATAATATGTATACGCATATTTAACATGTCAGGTAGCGTTTGCTTGGATGGTGGGGGTAGGATGGTGGTGTCTCTGGTTCGCGAGATGGGACGAGTTCATTTCGACTTCATTTTCGGATTGGTCGAGAAAGGATGGCACCAGCCTATTTTCTGTTGGCAATGTATTAAGTTCTTTTCAAGTGTAAGTCAGAGAAAGGATTTGCAAAAGAATTAGGAGCGAGCCACTCCCTCCCACCTCTCTCCCGCACATATAGGGTTTGCACTATATATTCTCCCACATCCACTGACATATAGGACCCACATCCAACAGATTTTTTTCCTTTTCTTTTTTTTTCTTTTTTCTTCTTCTTATCCTTTCTTCTTCGTTCTTCCGTCTCGGACCGCGAGTCGCGACCCGCGCTTGCTGCCCGGGCCTCCACCGGCGATCTCCATGTGCCTCCTCCGCCCTCCACCCACGATCCCGCACCTCCTCCGCCCTCCACCCGGGACCCCGCACTGGCTGGCCGGGCCTCCGTTCACCGGAGTCGGCCCGCTCGACCTTGCTCGCCCCTGTCCGCCAGCCCTGTAGCCACGAGTCGCCCGCCGGAGTTGCCCCGGTGCGCGACGAGGCCGGGCATAGCTCGCGCGGGGCTGGTGGTGGAACCCGCGCCGGCCATCCTCTCTCCTCTCCCTTCTCCCCTGCGTCGTGCGGCGGCCTGAGAGGCGGCGTGCTCGTCCGCGCGGCGACCTGCGAGGCGGCGGCGCTCGCCCCAGTCGGGTTCCTCCGTCTTCAAGCTCCTCCGAGCGTCGTCCTTCTTCCTCCCATCCTCTCCCGCACGCCGTCCGTGAGCGAGCGCACCTTCTCTCCTTCTTCCTCGCCACCAGCCCGCTCGTCCCATTTGGGCTGACCCTGTCCCCTCGATTTCGTGGGACGGGGGGCGTCCCGAATCTGTCGGCATATTCCTCGCAGGGACGGACTCGCCCCTGGCTGCCTCTCATCCAAACAACCCTCATCCCAGGATCATCCCACTTCATCCCAGTTGATCCCCTCAACCAAACAGACGGCTCGGGTGTTTCTCCATCATATGTATATGTTGAGACCGACGCGCCGTAACCGATGGAAACATCCATCTATTCGTACTGCCGCCGGCCGCCGCCGCCCTCCCCACGCCGCGATTCCGTCTTCCCGCGGCAGCCATGGAGGGCCAGCCTCCCGACGCCACGCCCGGCCCTTCGCTTGCCCTGGCCGCTGGCGCCCATGGCCAGGCAGCGGCCGCAGAGCGCCAGGCCACGCGATCCCAAGGAGGTGTGGAACGTCGCGGCGGTGATCCCCGTGGAGAAGGGCACGGTGGCCGGAGGAGGCGGTGGGCATCACCAGCATGGAGGCCACAAGCACGACGGGCAGACGAAGCAGCAGCAGAGGGTGCTAGAGAGCAGCAACAGCAGCAGCAGCTGCTTCAGCGACGAGCTGGTTCTGGGCGAGGAGAACAACTTCCTGGGCACCGAGCTCCTCAAGCGCACCTGCAAAGGTAAACCCCGATCAGTGCTGGAGGACGGTGAGCAGCGGCGCTTCTTCGGCCTGCGGACGGCGGAGCAGCGGGTGATCGAGTTCTAGTGTGGCAGCCAGCGGGAGTACAAGATGTGGACCAAAGGCGTCGCGCGCCTCCTCGCCATCGTCGACGGACGGAAGCGCTGAGCCTAACAGCCGCCGTCGGTGCCGGTGCGGTGGCAGTGATTCATCGCAACCCAGCCAGGAATCATGTAGATGTAGCTAGGCAGGGGCCTCATGTCGCGGCTGCTGTTAGAGAAATGAAATCCCAAGTGATTTGCTCTGACGCTGATGTTACCTGTTCATCTCACTTGTTGGAGAAAATTGCCCACTGAGATGTCAAATACATGTATACAGATTACAAAAGGGAGAAAATACACATAATGTCATGTAAATCAAGAGTCCAACATTTGGAGGCCTATTTTTACGAAGTCGATGTTTGGAATCCCAAAACTACGAAGCGCGACGATTGGAGTCCCAAATATGCAATTTTCTCTTTCTATCCTTGAAAAAAATAAAACCTGTAGCTACAAATCCTATGGGTATCTTTGATTTGAAGCTCTAGATGCAAGAGATGTCTTCTGCGCCTTTTTCTTATGCAGTTTGACTCGATCTCAGGTGATCTCTGGATCAGTTATTGGATTTAATCTTCTTCAAATTAATTTTCTGTGTCTGAATAGACGTCTTTGCCTACTCAATTTTATGTGTACGCAGAAATGCGAACAATTTGTATATCTAATTCTTATGTGTTCTGCTTACAAGGATCAGCAGATCCATGTTAGCACTCGAACAATTTGTATATCTAATTCTTCTTGTTCATCAAGCGCTGCTGTAATGTTCCTTGTGCGCTAGGATTTAGAATGGAGCCACATATTCATCATATTCTCCATCCTCTTCTTTTGGCTACATAACACTATTTTTGGTGGCTAGTGCTAATAAAGTATGACAGTAGTGGAGAAGTTGGGCACAAACACAGACTTCCTTTATTTATGTTTATATGTGATAGCTGGATTTTGTTTGGTATGCCAATAGCGATATGATAATACCTATAAAAGCTTGCTTCTTCGTTTCGGTTTACTAAATATTGATTTAATGGACGTGTATATTATTTCTTTTGCACAGCCTGGACCAAGGGATGCACCGCTGCACTGTTTTATCCGGAGGGACAAAAAGAACTCAACCTTTTCTCTCTACCTCAGCTTAACACAGGGTGAGTAAGCATGGGTATCTTCTTATTCCCCATGCTTTTGATTTCATGGTATCATGGATCTGGTTCACTTGGTAGATTGAAATAGGGGTTTCAGATATCTTTTGATTTGATAGGTAGTGCCAGTAAGCAAATAAAAAGGCTAACTGACTTTCTGGGGTTCCTGATCCACCCATGATATTTGAAATGGAATCCTATAATTCTGTCAAATCATGTTTATAAAATTGAAAGCATAACCATCAGGGCCAAATAAACTGCAAATACAGCTGGCACCTCTGCTGAGGTTACTTCGCATATGACTTGTGATGTTGCACATCTGTACCTAGTCTTGTTTAGAAAATAGGAAAGTGAATATATAATTTGTTTATTCTTATAATCAATTACGGCTTTCTTATACCATTTGATGAGGACCCGTACATCTCCTTTGCTGTCTCACCTATACAATATTTAGAGGGTTGTCCAAATATAATCCTATTCGTTCGGTAGGAAGATTTGACTTGTCATTGATTGTTGAAAAATTATTCAAAATACATTGGCAGTGATTCTTACTCGGCGTCTATTTGATTTGATCTTAACGGCTAATATAAATTTTGGAGATCTACCTTGCTGGCATAACAATATATAGGACGTGCTTGATTTCACTAGATGGCTTGCCTAGCCTGGCCTCACCTGGCTAGCACGAGGTACGACAACTTTGCCTAGCCAGGAGAGCCAATTTGACTCTCTCAGATGGCAAGGCAAACCTTGCCTACACAAACTTCGAGGTAGTTAGGCAAGATAACCAAACAAGCAAGATTGTTCTATATCCTTGCTCAGCAAGGTCAAACGGTACCTGACCAAAAAACCAAGTTGCCTCATAGTAGAGCTTGTGAAGTAGATGATTTTGCAATGCTAATGGAGTTTTGGAAACTCTGCATGATCCATTTCCACTCACATAATCAGTTCAACTTATGATCTGTGAAAGCAAGAAAATGTTGAAATACTGGGTCCTGTCAAGTGTATGATTCGCTATTTCACTGTATAAATAAGGTTACAGTTTGTCACAAGTATGGTATGTAGAGGCATTATGGCTTGGGAACTTGAATCCACAATAGTCCAGTTGATCTCTTATTCCCTGCCATATCGATCTGAATAAGCTTGTTCTAGAGATTGTAGCAATGAAGTTACACTTCGTCTAGAATTCTTGACTGCAATTTCATGTGATATTTAATTTATTTTGCTCTCTTGGCAGCCCTAACGGATAAAGGTAAGTTTCTTTTGGCTGCTCGAAGGTTCAGACAAGGAGCACATACAGAATATATCATCTCTTATGACTATGATGATCTGCACCCAAGAAGCAGTTCATATGTTGGAAAGTTGAGGTAAGGTCTAATCATTCCAGAACTTTATTTTCCAATTTGATTACCTGATTTGTTTGTCGTGCATGCTAACGAGGTTAAATGTTCATCTTTTGACTATATGTTATAGCTGAGTTCTATATTATGGGCATAAAACTATATAATTTGTGTCATGTGCCTTATTTCCATTGCTGGTATTTTTTATTATTGTTCAAACACTTTAGTAAATTAATCCATCATCTCTTTATTTCTGGTAGTTATATTGTCAATAGACACTGTCCATGTTCATATGCATCGTCATATTCTGTGATTGAATCAGCTTATGAGAAAATTGCTTGTGTGAGTGCAGCTGCGACAGATTTCTGTGGTATCTATATTCAGCTAGCAGTGGCTGAAATCCTGTTTATTCATAGGTTGAGGTTCTGGCTCAGTTACATTGATGGATTGTGGCAGCTTTTCCTTGTTTTTCAGTCAGTTAGTCACCTGTTACATAGAGCTATTTGTATGAAAACAAAGAACCAATTCAATCTATTGGATAATCTACTCCAAATGCTGTCTTGTTTATTGCCAAGTTCACTAATGGGGTATAGTTAACACTGTTGCGTTACGGCTTAACTTCCACTAATTGTTCATGCCACTCATGCCTTGCTTCCTTCGCTATAAATTGGCTACAGCCTACAACACGTCCTTAACTCAACGTACCTGCCATTGATGCCCCAACACACAGCCTCAAACATGATAATACCCTGTATCATACTCTTCTCATACATATGAAGCTGCCATGATGGAACGATTGATTCAATTCTCCATATAGTAGGGATGCATTGCTTCCATAAATTTGTTATGTGCAACCCCAAAGTTTGGTTTGTGGAAAGCTTTTAAAAACTTGCATTGTAAACAATTGTATTTAATCTCGTTGCAAGTACTAGGAACATATTCAAAGCCTTCCTCACTTTTATGTGTTTTTGATTTTCCATAATGTCATTCAAAACTGTGGCCCATCCATGTGTATTTTCAGTAGTGTGTATGGATACCTGATCCAGATCTAGCTCTAGCTCTGCATTATACAAGGTATCTCAATGCTTATATGCACTTTCTTCTGTTCATTGTCCTGGATAGAAAAAATGTGAATATTGAAAGAATTGGGCCTTAAACATCCATCGGAGAGTGAACTGTAGACAATGAAATACAAAAGTACTTTATAGTTACAAATTGCTGCAAGGGACATTCAACTTAAAACTTTCAACCATGCTAATATTTGTGTAGAGGTGGAAAAACCTCAACGGATGTTGTACAGTGATGTTCAACTTAAAAAATTTAATTCTTACAGCACAAAATGCTCCATTGCGATACAGGTAAATGTACATTTGGTGGGAGGGTAGGCAGATGTTGTTGTATACAGTTGGTTGGGAGGTTCGTTTAACATATGTGCTGTCAACGAGATGGTGGCATACGGATGTCTGGACATGAGGGAACACTGGAACAGGGTTTGGGTTATCATTTTGTCATAACTCATAAGCATGGGAGCAAGCACATGATAGTTTCCATGCCCTAACCCAACTGAAACTAGTCCTACAGTTTTGGAGAGACATCAGATTTTCTCAATCCTACATCACTAGTCCTAACATTTATGGAGAGACACCAGACTTTCTACCACTTTCAAATGCATTTGATCCAGCGTTAGCCATGAAGTAATAAAGTCATAATTTGGCACCTTATGGAGTGTTTGTTTATATTATGAAAGGCATAGTTATTATAAGAAAAATGATTTCTTGTTATAAAGTTTGCCAATAATACTAATTTGATAATGTGAGTTCTGCCTGTAGATCTGACTTCTTGGGGACAAAGTTCATCATCTATGATAGCCAGGCACCATATGCTGGTGCTAAACCTTCGAGGAGCCGATCTACTCGCCGCTTTGCAAGCAAGCAGATAAGCCCACAGGTTTCAGGTAGCAATTTCGAAGTTGGACAAGTGACCTATAAGTTCAACTTCATGAAATCAAGAGGGCCAAGACGAATGCAGTGCAATATCCAGTGCCCTGTAGGTCAGGGCACTTCGTCAGATCCATCCATGGAGAAAACACCCTCGCCGAGTTCCTTGGATCTAAAGAACAAAGCTCCAAGATGGCACGACCATCTTCAGTGTTGGTGCTTAAATTTCCATGGCCGGGTGACTGTCGCCTCTGTTAAGAACTTCCAGCTTGTCGCCACAGCTGGCTCTGGTGGTTCATGGGGCGTTGGAGATGAGGAAACGGTGATCCTGCAGTTTGGGAAGATCGAGGACGACGCGTTTACAATGGACTACCGGCAGCCTCTGTCTGCCTTCCAGGCGTTCGCTATCTGCCTCACCAGCTTTGGCACGAAGCTGGCTTGTGAATAAGTGATTGCCTGTTTACCAATTATATGTTGGGGATCAAATTGTAGGGGATAGTCTGAACTAGTTGCCCTGAGCCCCTGAGATGGGACAAAACTGGCGACAAGAAACAGGGGCGGACGTTGTCCCTAGCTTGACTTATTGTGATCGCCTAAACGATTGATTTATATGATGTGCGTCTATGTTGTTGAAGAGATGACGATGGCTTATTGTTGTAAGTGGCACTCCCTTTCGTTTGGTGAGATTACTCCTAATGCCTTATTCCGATGGTGTGCAGTGTGCTGTTAAACTTCTTTTCTGCATTTTTCAAAGATGATGGTTAAGAGGTTTCTATCAGACATGATCGACCACGTGTGACGGTGTGAGCATATCTAGACAACTAGCTGTGGTTGCTGCTAAACTGGTAGTACTATTGTTTATTGGACCAGGTGAGGAAGCATGCATGATTAAATTACCTTGTCATTAACTTACCTCGTGCTCCATTTGCACAGATAGAAATAGAATCATGCTACATCTACATGCCCTTGGAGATTGCTAAGGCCTTGTTTGGTTCCCGGGGAACGACGTCCGGGAACCGTTCCGGCCAAGATTGTCCGTTTAATTTGTACGTAGCAGATTTGACCGGCAATCATTCCGGGGCGGAAACTACTCAAACGAACGAGCCCTAAAGAACCCATCACTACAACATATCCATTCCTACATACCCATCACTAGTAGAACAAAACCACCAGGAGGCGCTCGCTAACAGTTGGCATGATCAGGATAGCTTCCGTCATTTCTATAGATCGTGCACGCGAATTTGCCGTTGCCTGTCATGATGGACGTCCCTGCTCGAATCAATGGAGCACCACGGCAGCGGAGCACGTTTCTTGGGCTGCACATGGAGACCCAGAAAAGACGTCGCCGGGGGTCGAGTGGACACGGAAGGCAGCGCGCGCGAGAGCCACGACTCCGTAGGCGACTTGGGCAGCGGCAACGGGAGCAGCGGCTGCGGCTGCGGCGACAGCGCCATCTCACGTCCGGCAACGGCCTCCTTGTCTTCCAGAAGCAGCGGGAAACCGTACCCGCCGCCGCCGGCATCGGCGGCCGCGTCACGCTCACGCCCCAGCTGCTTGTCGCCGTCCGGCGAGCTTTTGTGGTAGTCTTCAGAAGCATCGCGGTGTCGCCGGTTCTAGAGAGCTTTCGCGCCGGCGAGACGTGGCCGCAAGCCTCGTTTGACCTGTCGAGGACCAGGAGCAAACCCAGATGGCTCGCCTTCGGGCGGACGGCTTGCCCGTCTCGGCGTTTGTACAGTTCGCGCACCGTTCTGTCCAGCTCCGAGGCCACGGCGGCCGCCGGTCCCATCAGGACGCCGGGGCCTGATGATCGGAGCAGTGATTTGATGTACACTTCCTCCCAGGATTGCTGCGAGATCTGCAAGAGAAGAAGGCGCGAGTTCTTCAGGCATGAGGCGGTGAATTCGTCAGCACGCAAGTGAAGTTGATGCACACGAGGATATGTAACAGGAGTACCATGCCGTGATCGTCTCCGGTATGCAGAAGCTGGTGCTGCCCGTTACGCGAGCGCGGCGGCAGCAGCAACTCGCCGCGCACCTCCTGGAACGGCGTGCCTGCACCTCGCCGCGCGACGCGGGATAGCAGCAAGGCGCTCTTCAGGCACCGGGCTGAGAGCAGCCCGCAGCTCTTGGACGCGAAGCCCGCCGTGCTGTGCGCGTCGGAATTGTCGTCGTCGTCGTTCTTGCCACTGGGAGGGAGGGGCGGCAGGTGGTACGCCGCAATGTGCTGAAGGGGCACCCGCCTTTGCGCTGGCACCCTGTCGCTGCTGGCCGCGCGCGCGCCTAGCACCACAGCCGCCCGGGCCGACCCCGCCTTCCGGAACGTGTTCTGCGGGGAGCCGGCTGCCACGGCGTGCGCGGCCGGCAGGAACCGGTCCATCATGACGCTGCCGCTGCCACGGGCGCACGGCCCCGCCCCGGCCCCCGCGGCGTCGCTGAGCCCGGTCGCGCTGCAGTTCACGGTGACGCAGCTGACGTCGTCGCGGGAGAGCGCGTCCGAGCACCGCTCCTCGCCCCGCCGCGCGCGCTCAGAGGCCACGGTCACTACCGCCGCTGGACTCCGCGTCACGCGCGAGGGCTCGTTGTCGTTGACGTCGACGATCGTCAAGGGAGGTGGTGGGGCCGCCGCCGCCGCCGGCCGGCGGGTGCGGACGCTCTTGGGGTGGCCGGGGCGTTGCTCCCACCCGAATGGCACGGCGCTGGTGTGGCCCGGGGGCTCCGACGTGGCGTCCGCCTTGTAGGCAGGCGGCAGCCCCGTGGCCGCGGTCTCGGCGCCACCGCCACCGTGGCGCCGCACGGAGAGAAGTGGCGCGGTGAGATTGATGCGCTTGTTGGCGTCGGCCATGATGATGACGGCCTAGCTAGACAACTGGTGCGAATGCGAAGCTCGCTGCTGCTGTGCTGCGGTCCGCAGACTGCAACTACTTCGTCACTGCACTGCACTGAAGTAATCCGCGGATTAAATAATGGGAGACGCTTGGATCGTTCTGCTTAATGATTCCTTGTACTCGTATTCAGGTGCGCCGCATGGCGCCGGTATAGCCGTACACGACGTGGCGGGAAGCGACCAAACTGAGCTGACAGGTTGCTATACAGCCACTGCAGTCTGTTGTCTGTGCACGAGCTCTGATTCCTGTAAAAATCTTGTAAAAAACGAAGAGGAAAACAAACAGAGGTACATCTGCTAATGTGGAACCATGCTCCTACACTTTTCACACCCTGTGGCAGGTTTAGGTTTTTGATCTGCCTGTCGGCTGCCTGCAGGCTGCAGCTGTTGCCGAAAGGAAGAAACGGTTAGAGCATTGTGCTCTGATTGATTGGTTGTATTATTGGAACGTAGCAGAAGCATCATCAGCGGTGACAAAAACGGCTGTGTGGCACTGTGGCCTCGCGGGAGATTAGAGCATAACAACCGGTTGGTGACCCTCGTGTCGGATCGGATGGACGGCTTTGTCAGTAGCGGATGGGGAGTCGGCGTCGTGTTCATAACTGCCATGCAGACTGCAGCGAGGCAGGTCGTTTTCTCGTCGCGCGAGAGGTGGGAGCTAGAAGAACAGCACCGACACAACCCGTGTTCCCTTTGTCCCTGGCGTCACCAACTGACGACTTTGTACAGCAATGGTACAGTCATCATGTTCATTGGCAGGCAATGCCGTGCAGTAATCCGATGAGTACGCGCTAATCACGTCCAGCATCGCCGACGTGTCTGAGATTTCTTCCTGAGGCCTTTTGTGGGGGCCGCACTAATTAATGGCTTGGTTGGTTTGGTTTTGCAACAAGCATAATTCTATGGACTGTTCGTTTCAGTAATCCACGTACTACGTGCTAAGAGATCCAAAAAAAAAAAGGTACTACGTGCTAAGTGTATGCAGCATCCCCAATAGTGCGTTTGGTGTCCCAACTTTGCACCTAGTGCGGTTAAGCTGTATGCGTCCTAAAGTTTCCAACAACTCTACTGTCAGCATGGCGTTTCTGTTTGTTTTGCATTCAAGAGCCCATTTACAGGTCTCTAGCTGAAACGCCCCTTTCTACTTTTTCCGAAGGGACTGTGTCCATCGGCACCTAAAGTGTGCGAAGCGGCCAGCACCTGATCTTTTCCCAGGAGCATGTGCCTGGATCGAAGAATCTAATAGGATGTTTAGTTTGAGGAAGGCATTTGTCCGTTGTCTCCTTACTCTTTCTTTCGGTTAATCCATCGTTACCTAATTCACCGTAAGCTAATAATTAATACCAGTACGAGGATTAGAGCTACTCCTCCAAATTTGAAAATACACTCGCACCACCTTATAAAATAATCCCTCAAACCAAACACCATGTAACAGTCTAAAGTCAAAGTGTTCCTCTAGCCAGATGTATCTGTTGACTTCTCATCTCTAACATGGGCGTCAAGCTGCCTCTAGTGATCTCCTCTAAGCCGCTGGACTCCCCGAAGAACCCGTCCCTAAATCCCATCCCCAACACTACAATCCCGAACCTTAATATTGTCAGGGATGAGGACGGTGGACGGTGTTTCTAATTGTCTAACCACATCGTCTTAGAGCAACATCAATGTTGGAGTAGTAGAAAAAACAAAGTGTTAGTGATGGTTAAGGCTAGGACTCAGGCCGTCCGCAACGCTCCACCGTGTCTTGTAGCCTCAAGTGACACGTCTCCACTTATTGTCCATCTCACACAGAATGATAGCATCGCAGTCCGTCAGAGTACCCTGTAGAAGCGTCTACAGCTTTGTCTGACAAAAAGCTCAAGCACCTAGCAGAGCGAGCGTTGGCCAGCTATGGTCTCTCACACAATTTTGAGAGGACCACAGCAACAGCGGGCTGAGAAGAGAGAAGCAGCAGAGTGAAGAGAGGAAAGCTGCAAAGCTACGTGCATGGTGCGTGGGGTCCAAAATCAAATAGCTTGCACTGTGAAATTGTTTGCCTCAACTTCTCCTTACCTACATGGACTACCTCTTTTAGTTAAGGCTAATAAAACTGTTGGGTTACGTTGGTGGTGCCCTCAGGAGATATTTAGCTTTTCTCCCTTTTTCCAAAACAAGGTCTTTAAATGGAAATAAAGAAGAACGTATTCCTCGAGACTTTTCTCACTTCGAGTAGTGTGGGACATGTCCATTCAGCCCATTATTATACTAAGCCTCGTTATGGCTCGTTAGGAGGACTAGCTGGCTCGGTTCGGATTCGGATTGTTAAGAAAACAAGCTAAAACTTTAGCCCGACTCAGATTGTTTAGCTAACAGTTTCAACCTCTATCAATAAAAAAACTAATAATTAGTTTCATGCAAACATTAGAAAAGAAGTACAATAATGCATAGCATAAACCAGTTCTGAATTTCATCTCATGCGTAGAACATAACGTCAACTCTAGCTTTTGCTTCTTTAGGTTTTTAGACTATGAAATGCTTAGTTCGTTTTAGCTGACTTGCGAGCTCGCTCATCAACTTATAATGAGCTAAACTACTAGCTCTATCGGGAGCCGACACATTACCGAGCTAGCTAGCAAGTCATGTTTTTATTGTTTTTTTTATCCAGCCCTACTAGGAGAAGAACACCAAGGAGAAGAAATGCGGACCTTATTTTAGCACCAGAGACGATGTTGGACTCTAGGTGGGCTAGCCCATTTGTAGCAACTGGCAAGCAAGCTTTCTTACGGGCCAACTAAATTAGGCCTAAAGACTAAAGATTTGGCCCATCTACTATACGTTATTAGCCTTTTTCTCAGCTCAATAGCAACTAAAGGCTCCCACAATACCTGCAGGCTGCGCAGTCCAGAGGTCTGCCGGAGCCATTCAGAGTTTCAGACTAGTATATGCGTACACTGCGTCACGTCGTCGTATATCTAGCCATCATGAAATTCTCAAAAAAAAAAAAAAAACTAACCATCATGATCTAGTTTTTCCATCTACTAAACTGGAAATCGCTTTCGATTATTTTCGACCCCCACGCTAGCGACCGTGAACACATTGACCCTGAGAAACTCCAGCAGCAGATCGAACGTCGACGAAGTGCTGTTTTTTCTTCAGAAAACAGCTCGTAATTCTTCATGAGGTTAAACTTGCAGGTTAGTTCCTGGGCAATTTGTCTTTGCAACCAAAGTGCAAAGCTATAAAGAGCCACTTTTCTTTTGGATTGGCAGGAAAAGGAAGACATGGGTCGGTCTTTCCAACCAAAAAGATTCTCACTTTTGATTCTGTCCTCATCAAAAGCTACAGATTAGGACTGTACCATATGGAGGATAAAGACCATGAACACCCAAAGCACTGCGCTTTACCGAGATAAAGTAAAGGCGAGAATCTTGTTTTGGATAGTTTTTTGTGCTTTTTTTTCTGTGAACTTTTATGTCACAAACGCAAAGTGACCATGGGAAAAGCTTAGGAAGGTGCAGCTAGTGCTTTGCTCAGATTCTTAGTAACCAAGTCATGCCTGCCATGCCTCTTAGGTCCTATATAGGTTGACTCCTGGAGCTTTTACTTCTTACCGTTCTGCTAGCTAAAACATACTGAACTGTCTGCAGATTGCAAGATAAATGTTGGATGAAGCTCGTCGGGAAATTTATCTGGTCATGTAAATAAACCTGGCTCAGTCAGCTCTTACATTTCTTCGGAAAGTTTTTCAGTAAAACCTGTACTATTCTACAATGGATGCAATTCTGAAATGTCACTTTGCAGACAACCAACGAAGACACGACGTGTGTGTTGTGTGTACGTACTGAAATGTCGACAGGTACCGCGGCCAAAAGCCCAAAAGGCACCACAAATCATGGTGTCCACCGCGCACGCACCCAAGCACTGAGCCACTGACTCTCACATACATATGCTATATATATACAAGGGCCAGGGCTACTGGATGCCTGATAGTACGAGATAGATAGCTCCTTGAGAAACCATCGAAAACCAGCCACCACACGCCTCGCGCACCAGCAACATGCTGCCTCACGTCGAGATGCCGGCCAGGGCGGCGGCCGCGTGCACCGGCGCGGCGGGCATCAAGCTTTTCGGCAAGGTCATCATTACCCAGCAGCAGCAGCAGCAGCCACCGCAGCCGCCCATGCACCACGGGCCGCCGAGGCTGCAGCAGCAGGCGTCGTCGGGGCGCGGGAGCGCCGACCTGCTGGAGGAGGTGGCACGGGCGCGCGCGGCGGCGGCCGAGGTGCGGCTGCCGTGCCCACGCTGCCTGAGCCGGGACACCAAGTTCTGCTACTTCAACAACTACAACGTCAACCAGCCGCGCCACTTCTGCCGGGCCTGCCACCGCTACTGGACGGCCGGCGGCGCGATCCGCAACGTGCCGATCGGCTCCGGCCGCCGCAAGAACCGCCCGGTGCTGCTCCCACCAGCGCCGCATCACGCTGCCACCGCCACCGCGACCGCCAGTACTATCAGCGCCGACGATTACGACCACCGCTCGGGCTCGGGGTCTCCTCCGGTGTTCGCCTCTGTGTTCACCGCGCCCTACCTTGGCGGCTCGCCCTCCCAGTTCATCACGTCGCCGGCTTACGCCGCCGCCGGCGGCCACCCGGGGACGACGACGGGGCAGTGCTTGTGGCTGGTGGCGACCACGGATCGTCCTGTTGCATCGGACCGCGCTTTTCTGATATGATGTGAAAAATAAATAAATGATGTGATTTTAATTTGCTTGGTTACTCACGCTCCGAGCTTTTCACGGATGGAACCGGCGGTTTCGGTGTGGTGGATAGGGTAGGGTTTGACCTGGTAACAATTTTGAGTGCATGCTCGGGCTTTTTTAGGTGTAGCTGTCAGCTGTGTAATGCAAGTGTCTTCTAACACCTTTTCTTTTGACTTTGCGTCAAACTTTTGTGAAGGTTGTTTAAGTCCTTTTTTGGGAACTTTTGTGAGCTTGGGATGTAATTTAACTAACTAGAAGCATGTCTATGCGTTTCAATGGGAGTGAGGGGGTGGTGCTGTGGTTATATAGTAATTGACTAGAGAAACGTGCCTATGTTTTTAAATCTTGATGTTGATTATGAAGAACGCAGCGAGCCAGCGATTGTCTGTCACACCTCGACACTGCAAACTCTAACCAACGATATGTCGCGCTCTAGCACGAGTGCGCGACCCGCGCCCACGGATTCTGTGCCTTCTTGTCCTCTCCCTCTTTTCTTCTTCATCTTCGGCAGGCTTAGAAAAGAAGGTCGTGGGAGGCAGTCAGGCCCGACGGTGGGGATAGGAGAGATGGCGGTGGTGATGTCACTGGAGCAGGCGGCAGAGGAGGCGACCGGGCGGGGTTGGGGCGGGAGCGACCATGGCCATGGCGCGTGCGGGGGGAGGGGGGAGGAGGTCGCTGCGAGTGTGGTAGGGTCTTGAAGAAGCTCCAGGGCTGCGAACACGACTGTGGAGCTTCGTCGAGACCCTACCATACCGTGACGGGGTGATGCTGTAAATTTGAGGTCTAAGATTTAAAAGCTAAACTTTTTTCATCATGTGCCCATATATGCGCCTCCTACTAAGTTGGACATAGTAGATCCTACCACAGTTAGATCATTAACAACAATCTTCATTCGGTTTTGTGAAAATTATATAGTATGAACATAAGGTTAAATATTTAAATACCGGCGATTGAGCAGCTCTGCTCGTTAGGTTCTTTGTGACAGGACCTATCCACTCATGTTTAAAGTCTTCAACTTGATACATGTGTTCTTGTTTTCTAGTTTATTCCAGTATTTAACGATGCTATTTTCTCAGTGATAGCGTTGTGTCAATAGCGAGGGTCCTATGTGGTGATTTTGTTAATCTCGAGATATGCTGACCCAGTCTTCTAGAGGTGCTCATAACGTAAGGTGTGTGTGCATGTGCATTCATAGGAGTGAGTGTGTGTATGTGAGCGGTGTATATGTGGTGACTTGGTCAATCTAAAGATCTACTATTCCAATCTTTCGGAGGTGCTCATAGGTAGAGATGGGAGTGGATTAGAATCCGAATAATCCAAATCGAGAAGTACAATTAAAATCCAAGAAAATGATCCAACATCCAATCAAAATCCAATTCCAAATGACTAATATTCAATCCAATCAATATTTTTCTATATCTATATCTGTATCTATATCTTATAATTCTAGTCCTCACTAGAAGTCTATCTCGACATGCAAGCTATCCACGTCAACTGTCCACTAGCGTATGCTATTATGGCACATATCTATCTCAATATGCAAGCTATCCATGTTAGTTGCCTACTAATGCATGCAATTATGACATATCTATCTCGACATGCAAACTATCCATGCCAGCACCTCACTAAGGCTTTGTTTGGATGTTCTCGGATTCACCTTAATCCACATGTTTTGGGGTAGAATTTAGTTCAAGTTCCACTCCAATCCACCTTAACACATGTGGATTGATGCGGATCCGACTACATCCAAACAAGGCCTAAGGGCATGTTTGGAATGCAAGAAATTCATAGGATTTGCATTGGAAAATATGCCATGTTTCAAACAGGGCCTAATGTATGCAATTATGGCACATATCTTTCATAGAAGTTATCCACGTTAGCAAGCCATATCATCCATTGATATGCATTTATTTATCCACGTTAACATACTACATAATACACTTAAATTTATTCACGATCCCGCAACAAGTGTGAAGTATGCTTCTAGTTGCTTTAAAATCCAAATCCATCCATGACTATCCAATAATAGCAAAAGCACTATGCCTACATGTTGACCTCATTCTAAAGCTTGACCGTAAACTCACTTTCATGCATAAAAACATAACAAAATTGATAGAAATTTATTTAAGATGACTCAGTGACAGCTGGCTACTTTATGTAAATTGGTGTGCCTTACACATGGGCCCCACATAGATGAACCCAAAACTTTAAAACCTCGCATTTAATTTGCACCTTAAGATTTTGACGAAATTGAACGAAGTTAGTTAGAGATGATTTAGTATATAGCAACCGGCTACTTTGTGCAAATTGGTATTGCTACATGTACATACGGGCCACATGTTAAAAGCTGGACCCTATTAAGAACCTTACATTCACATCTTAAAATTTTATTAAAATTGAACAAAATTTATTGGAGATGATTTAGTATGACAACCGGCTACTCTTAAAATTTAGTGAAATTGAATAAAAATTTAGAGATGGCTCAATATAGCAACTAGCTACTCTGTGTATAGGTCAACATGCATGTGGGGCACATTAGAAACCTAAGCTAGACATTGGAAACTGCTCTCTTAAGTCCAAAGATATCCAATGGATATTGGACTTTTAAGTTGCTCTCCAATAGATTTAGGATATTATCGGATAATATAGGGATGGATATCCATATCCAAATGGACCTTATCTAAGAATATAAAAAAGTATTCAAATGACTATGGATGATCCAAATCCGTTGCGATCTCTACTCATAGGAGTGAGTGCGTGTCCTTACATAGGAATGAGTTCGTGTCCTTACATATAAGCGTGGATGTAATGTTGTTTGGCACAAAAGAAGATTTAAATTATTATAAAAAAGAAAAGATTTAAATTCGAACTTCTCATTGTGGGCCTACTTATGTGCTTAGCCTATCAACAACAATTCTTTCACAATTTCTTGAAAAATATTGCGGTGTGATACGAGGTAAAATATTGAAGTGTTGAACTTTCACCATGAGTCCCAATCATACGTTTGGGCATGTTATTAGTAGCTTCTCATTTAGCTAAGTCAAATCACATGTACGGTCTACGTAGTGTGTTGTAGGCCTAAACTGTTTTCCACGGAGTGAAACGGATTGGAATTAAATGAAGAGAGAATTATTTATGTGACAATAAAAAAATCGCTCTTGCTCTTAAGGCACTCAAAAAATTGAAGTTCCTTGTTTAGCACCGAGTTAAAAATTCCTTCCCTAAATAACACTACCGTCAATTTTCTCTATCCGTCAATTTTCTCTATTAACAGTGTTAAGTGGTGTCCAAAATAACCTATATACCCCTCTTTATAAAAAAAAATATGGTGCCATATAAGAAAAGGGAAAATTGGTTGTGTAGCATCAAAGATCACGATCTCCGTAAAATACCATCAAAAGATTGAACCGTGAACTAAAAATAACATTTCGTTAAAATAAAGCGACAGAAGTGACATAACAGAAAGTAGCCTCCGTCATGCCGTCACGCCCTTACGGGTTGTTCTCGTGGACGCTCGCTGCGAATAGGAACGGCTCCTGCGGCACCACCGGCACCACGTGCCACAGCACCCGTGCTTGTGCACGTCCTTGCCGTCCCGCTCTCGCCCCGCCCGGTCCTGCCCCGCGCCGACGCCTCTCCTCAATCCCGATCTGTGTGCCTGTAACCTGCGTGGGATGGAGGAGGAGGAGGAGGAGGAGGGCCCCTGCAGCGGGACGTCCTCAACCGCATCGGCGACATCAAGGTCGCTCGGCAGCTGCGCCCTCGTCTTGTGCCGCTTTCCACGTGCTTGTGCTGCTCGTCGACTCCGTCTTTGTCCGCGTCGATTGCGTCATCCCGATGACCCGCCGCCCTCCTCCTCCTCCGCTGTACCAGGATCCCCGCCGCACCAGCGCTATCTGCGGGCGCGGCGCGTTCGTGCACATCGCGCGCGTCCTGGTCGGCGGCATCGCCACGCGCTCGGCCAGATCCTGTCCCCCGCCACGGCGGGCGTCTCCTGGCGCTCTAAGCCACTGCACGGCCCGTCGCGGACGTCTCCCACCAGTCCACCACTCGCGCTCCGAGGTGCTCTGCTCAGCTACGGCTTCTCCACATCGAGCTGGCACTGACGATGGCGTGCTCCTAAAGTGGAAGGCCGACTTCGGCTCCACCCTCGGTAGCTGCGTCATCCTCGGCGCCTCGTTGGTCTCGTCCAAGCCGCCGACAGGGCCATGGTCCAGCGGTGGCGAAGGTGATACGCTGCTTCTGGCCGCTGGAACCTGTGGCTGGACGTGTGCTTCTTCAACTCGTCAAGGACGCGTGCTTCTGGCCGCTGAAACCTGCTAGCGCTGGTGCAGCGGTTCTATGAGATCACGTCGTGGCGCGTCCTCCTATAGTCCTATCTGGCAAGGACATGCGCAAGCACAACCTGCGGGCGCTGCACGTGGTGGCGGGGTGCCGCAGGAGCCGTTCTTGTTCGCGGCGAGCATCCGCGACAACATCGCGTACGGGCGCGACGGAGGCTTCCGTCACTCCCGTGACTTCATTTTAACATAATGCTACTCTCAGTTCACGGTTCAATCTTTCAGTGGTATTTTACGGAGCGCCAAACTTTCGGTGGTGTTTTACGAAGATCGCGATCTTTGGATGGTACACAACCAATTTTCCCATAAGAAAAACATGAATGTTCTTGTTGTCCAATAAAGAAGATATAAGTGGTAATATCAGAAATATAATTGTGAAGTAAAACATGATTTTTTTAATAAATGAAGACTGCAAATAAATATTCAATTGTATTACTACATGGTATATGACTGTATGAGCTCCTTATATTGTTTAAAGATATATTGAACAATGAGATAATAAAAAATATATATTAAAATCCATTGCTTTATTAATATGATTTCAACTGTATTACAAAAGAAGATATCTCATAAATATGTCATATACAGAGTGAGCATATACAAATCAAAATAAAAGAAAATCTCTAAACAATAAGCTATCTATATGACGACAATTCTAGCTCTTGTACCGATCTTCCAAAATCGTATCTTCTTGCGTAAGGAGCTATCCAAAAATAAGAAATATTCAACTGAGAACTGACTTTCAACCTGCAGGCAATGTGAACCATCATCCACGGATCCATCCATTCGGATCAAACAGAGGGAAGGGGCACTGGGGAATCCTAGGACAGATTAATAGGAGCAGGCGGCGGCCTGACCCCTTCTTGGTTCTTGTCAGAGGAAGAAGAGAGACAGGCTCAGAGCCCTGAGCATGACCCCTCGTTGAGGGGAGAAAAGGGGGGCGACGGTGACCGATTATTTGGCCAGGGGCATTTTGGTCCTCTTCAAAATTACTGACACAGTCAAACAAGTCGACTAACAGATGTATAGAGAAAATAGACGGTGGTGCTATTTAGGTAACGAATTTTCAACTCGATGTTAGATAAGGAACTTCGATTTTTTTAGTGCCTTAAAATTCGTGTCGGCTTGGATAATTCCTGACGGTCTAAGAAAACCGACAGGAGTAGCCTAGGATATTCCTATTTCTGCCCATTTCTCTTTCTTGTCGGTCTTCTGCCTATTCCTGACGGTTTGCGCCGTCAGGGATTTTTCTGGCTCTAGTAGTGCCGACCACATTCTGCCCATTCCTAAACTCTTAAAATTTCGTCGTGTGCTAGGGACTTCACAAGATAGCCTGGGCCTTGGGCTGGGCGTACAGCTTTGCCATTTGGGGCCCGCTCCAGCATGAGCTAGAAGAATACGGCCCAGTTTTGGGTGGTCCGTTAGTTTTACATTACGTATGAATTTGCATTGACCGCAAAGCGCCAACCAAAGCCCATTCGAGCAAATAACCACCTTGTGAAGCCGTAAACGTCCGCACTGCAACGTGACTGAAAGCAGCCCGTCAAGGCGTCAACGTCACCCATGAATGCTTAGCTTGGAGATGAGATCACCTGACTAGGACAGTGGTGTAGTATATTGCTTGGAGGAGGGACAAATCGGAGCGTCCGTCCGGCCGTGCAGCTCTTCTTCTCCGACGAAGACATGGGTTCTAACCTTTATTCCCGCCGCCGTACCCGTGAACGCCGGCGCGAGCCGCAAACTGCATAAACTTAGAAGCTAATAAACGTCCGTGCAGTCCAGGACGTGCTGGTGACACCTCGCATCATCCAGGTGAGATATACCACTCGGACACACAGTTTTGTGTGCCAGCAGAAGCGCTGAAATATGGCTCAACTGATGATGCGCTGAAATGCGTCAACTTTATTAGCACAGAAGGAAATGAGAAAGAAAATACTAACCACCTAATCTCTGCTTCTTCAGCTAGCTAAGCTGCAGCCATATTATGATAATCAGTTCCAAGTTTGCAATCAGTACCGCATCAGCATTTAACATCGAGAAGTACCAAGCAACGTCCGTCCTCAGCGTTGGCTCGGTTCATTCAACGATATAATTCAAGATTTGAAGTGGGCGACGGTGTGTCTCAACTCACCTCTTAAGAACCCGTGGCGCTCTTTGTTATGATGATGCTAGGACACACGGCCAATGCCAAGAAGAGCAGCAAGTTCGAGGACTCGGACAGTCGCATGTCCAGGCCCAGGTATTCGGCACCATTCTCGACCAAATCTGCATGCTCGGCTCCGATCGATCCTATTTCCTAATTTCCTATCCAAGTTTTTCCTGCTCTGAATATCTGGAGGCGGACTCGATCGCAACATCTTTGATTCAGGGCCGTGTCCGAGCTGCCGCAGCGTCCAGCACAGCGCTTGAAGCCACCGCCGCCGCCGGCGGGCACGGAGGCTAGCGGCGGCACGCCGCGCCGCGCTCTCGGCGTGCGGGTGACGGCGGCGCCGCGCAGCCCGTTGCAGGAGGCAAGGATGTTCTTGTGATCACATATTCACATGAACGATACAAACACAAGACCGTACTTGCCAATGACGACGTTGCGTTTGTTTTGTGCTGTGGCCGCTGATGTTTTTTTTTTTTGCAGAAGAAGCCCGCCACTGCTAGTGGTGGTGGTGCCGTCGCGGGGACACGGGTGGCGGAGCTGGAGGCGAAGCTAGAGAGGGCGCACGGGCAGCTCCAGGGGATGCGGGAGCAGATCGCGGCGGCCGAGAAGGCCAGGAAGGACGCGCGCGCAGCGCTCGTGGAGGCCAAGAAGCGCTTGGCCGCAAAGAAGAAGGACGATCTCGCCGCTACGGCGCCGGTCGAGCACGATGGCGGCAAGGAGCCAGCGTCAGCACCCAAAGCTTCTGCTGGTGTCGATGAGCGTGACAACGAGGAGAAAAGCTACATGGCGATGGCGGTAGTGCCGAGAGAGTCGGTGAATAATGAGGACCCGGTTGTCGAGGAGGGCAACAAGACTAGTGATGGGGAGGAGACGAGCAATGTCGTTGACGATGACGACGATGGCAACAACAACAAGAAGGGAAGCCCGGAGGTTGAGATGCTGAGGACGAAGCTGATGGCCAAGGACATGGAGGTCTACGAGCTCAGGGCGAAGCTGATGGTGATAGACACGGAGGTTGACGACCTAAGGGCCAAAGTGATGGCCAAGAGCACGGAGCTCGACAAGCTCAAGGCGGCGTTGATGGCGAGCAACGAACTGGTCGACAAGCTTACGGCGAATCTGCTGGTCAAAGACGCCGAGATCGCAGCTCTCGAGGCCGGCAACGCCGACCTCACCAAGATGGCCGAAGACGCCGCCGAGGCCGCGAAGTCGATGGCGGCAAGGGCGAGGGAGACCGATCACACGCTGAGGGAGAGCGCGGCGCGGGAGGCCCGGCTCGTCGAGCGGCTGCGGGCTTCGGAGCACGCCCGGGACGCGCTGGAGGCCGAGGCGCAGCGCTCGCGCGTGCAGAGCGAGCAGTGGCGCAAGGCGGCCGAGGAGGCCGCCGCGGTGCTAGCAGGCAGCGGCGGCGCCGTGGACAATGGCGCGTACGACAAACGGCGCCACTGGTCTGGCTCGGCCTGCGCCGGTGGTGGTGGGAATGACAGCAAGGCGGTGGCCAAGGACGACGACGAAGACGGAGCTAGTGGCGAGCGCAAGGCTGGCGGCGCCATGCGGGCGCTCAGCGACCTGTGGAAGAAGAAGGCGCAGAAGTGATATCGGAAAGCTGCGAACACCATCGTTCTGCTGCGTTGTATGACTCGAATTCATTATCCTCTTGCGTTCTGTTCTCCGCTACTCCGCTTCCGGCTTTCTGAGCGTACATGATTACTGTAACTAACGTGTGTTTTACGGAGGTAATTAAATTAGGTCACGTTAATGGAGATCGATTGGGCTATCATGATGGTCATGCCCCTACGATGGAAATCGTTTCGGTTTTTAAAGGATGGACGACAAGGTTAAGGATGAACTAGTTCTAAGTGTCGATTCGAGTTGGAGTGACACTTAGAGTAGTTTAGGACTTTGTTTTTCCTTTGGCCGTACTATTAAAGGAGTACGGACGGGTAGCTTGACCTAGGTGAGTCTAGTGGGATTAGGTGTGGTGCACACTTGCTAAAACTAGCGCTTGTTAGCTCCTACATAGCCCTTAGATCCAATGGAGCAAACTTCATTCACATATGATCAAGAGTTGAAAGTGAATGGATGGTCAAATGCTGACCGGACGTTGGCTTCGGTGTGACCGGACGCTGGCGCAGAGTCCGGTCAATTCATTTGACCAAGGTGAAATCATCTGGCACGACCGGACGCTGAGAGGTGAAGTGACCGGATGTTGAGATCCAGCGTCCGGTCGACTCCAGTAAAGTTCCGGAGAGGGAAAATCACGACCGGACGCGTCCGGTCAGTGCTGACCGGACGCTGGCCTGCGTCCACTCACACTTTAAACACTGGAGTTCGGGGTGTACTGAACGGAGTGTTCGGTCAACATGACCGGAGTGTCCGGTCACCCCGCAGAACACATAACGGTTCATTTTTCAGCCGGTGTTATAAATACCACATCCACTCGTGTGTGGGGGTATTTTTGCTCATTCAACAGCTAAGAAACACGTTTGAGAGTGCCAAGAAGAGTAAGGTCCTAGTGAGGTGATTGAGATTTGAGAATCCCAAAGAGAGCCATTATTAGTGAGATCAAGAGTAGCAAAGTGTGCATTCACCCTTCTCATTAGGCTTGTCGTGGTCAAGTGAGAGTTCGTGCTTTTTACTTTTGGTGATCGCCATCACCTAGACGGCTTGATGGTGATTGAGAGTTTGGTGGTCATCCGGAGAGCTTGTGGATGACCCAACTCAAGTTATGAGCGGTTGTGGGTGATTCACCACGACGGAGTGTCGAATAATCAACCCGTATAGAGCACTTGATCCTTGCGTGGATCAAGGGGGAGCTACACCCTTGCGCGGGTGCTCCAACGAGGATTAGTGGAGAGTGACAACTCTCCGATACATCAGCAAAACATCACCGCGTTTCCTTCTCCTCTCTTTACTTTGAAGTATTTGCTTAGAGCAATTCATTTCTTGCCATTTACATTCTTAGAATTGCCATGATAGAGTAGGATTAGAACATAGGTTGCAAGTCTTTTATACGGTAGAATAATTAGAAACACTTTCTAGACACAAGGGGTTAATTGAGCTAACCGTAGGATTTAATTATTGCAAAGAAATTTAGAATTAGCCCAATTCACCTCCCTCTTGGGCATCTTGATCCTTTCAATTGGTATCAGAGCCTCGTGCTCACGTATTTAGGCTTAACCGCCTAGTGAAAGATGTCTCACGGGGAATGACCTCCTCCTATCTTTGAGGGGGATGATTTTCCATATTGGAAAATCCGCATGGAGGCGTTTCTAGAAGTTCTAGATGTTGGAATACTTAGAGCCGCCTCACAAGGTTTCCCAAAACCTCAGGATGCCGCACACCCATAAGGCGATGAGTTGAACTATGAAAAATGGAATGCAAAGACTAGAAACACCATATTAGAGGCCTTTGTAAAGATGTGTTCAACCGGGTAAGGAACCACAAAGACGTCCATGCACTATGGTCAGATGTTTGTGCGCTCCATGAGGGAATAAAGAGTGAGCGTGAGGAACGCTATCATTTTGTCATGAAAAAGCTTAACTCTTTTGAAATGCTTCCTAAAGAATGTGCTAATGAAATGTATTCACGTTTGAATATTCTTATAGAGGAAGTCAATGGGCTTGGACTCACTCAAATACAACCATCCGATGTTGTAAGAAAGATCTTGAGTGTCCTCACCATTGACAAATATAGGCATATTATGACCGTGCTACATCAAGATGATCTTTCCACCGCTACACCGACATAAATCTTAGAAAAGATCAATGCTCATGAGATGTACATGCACATCACACCTCAAGATGGCTCATCCTCTATAAAGAAGAAAGAAAAAGATTTAGCATTCAAAGCTAGCCAAGAAAAGGGCAAAGTAAGGCTTGAGTATGAGAGCTCAAGTGATGATGAATTTGATAATGCAAGCCTTGCTCTCATGGTGAAGAAAACCGCCAAGATGCTAAAGAAGCTCAATAAGAGTGGCATCAAGTTCGATGGCAAGAAGAAGAAGTTCTTCACAAGCTCTAGAAGGAAGCCAATCTCCGAGATGGATTGCTACAATTGTGGAGAACTTGGTCATCTAGCACACCAATGCACCAAGCCCAAAAAAGACAAGTTCAAGAACAAGAACAAGGGCAAGAAAGATGACTCAAATAATGAAGATAAAGATGAGAAAAAAAGAATAAGCTATACAAGAAGAGAGATGGCAAGAAGAAGGACTTCCACAAAAAGAAGAAGAGTAGAAAGGCATACATCGTTGGTGATTGGCTCACGGACATTGATTCATCTAGTGGATCATCCGATGATAATAGTGATGACGAGAAGGTGGCTGCTATTGTTATTGACTCTTCATCATCTTCATCACCACCATAGCCATCATCCTCTACACACCTATACCTTATGGACAAGTGTGAACACAAGGTAACAAATGATGATGATAGTAGTGGTGATAAACATGCTAGTAATGATGATAGAGATAGCGATGATGATGAATATGAGTCACTTTCTTATGATGATCTTGCTAGATTGCTCAAATAATACACTAAGATCATTATAAAGACTAGAGCTAAGAATGAAGAGCTAGAGGCTAAAAATGATTTCCTTTTAGCTAAATGTGATATAGCCGAAAAGGCTAGTGCTGAGCTTAGAGAAGCAAATGAAGCTATGTCATCCAAACTCAAGGAGCTCAAATCTTCTAAGAAAGAGAAGCAAATGAAGCTATGTCATCCAAACTCAAGGAGCTCAAATCTTCTAAGAAAGAGCTTAAAATAAACATGATAAACTTGAGTGGGTGCACAAAGAGCTCATCACTAGCCACAACAAGCTAAAAAAAGAATACACTACTCTTAAGATTGATCATGATAGCCTTGTCATTGCTCAAGAATTTTTACCCAATGAGCCGCATGATGCTACTAACCATATTGTTAAGATTGATATAGCTACATCATGTGATGATTTAATTGATGAGAGCATTGAGCAAGTAGCTAGTGGCAAAGGCAAACAAATGGTTGAGTGTAATGATTATGATGAGTATGTCAAGCTCAAGCAAGAGATTGAAAAGCTTAAGAAAGAGTTTGAAGAGTTCAAAATCCACAACACCATTGTGCTAGAAACTCTTGATCATGATGGTGACTTGATCCTTGAGAATGAGAAGCTAAAAGAAGAAAAAAAGAAACTCAAGGAAGAGAGAAACAATATTGCACTCAAGAAAGATAAAAGTAGTGATGCACTCAAGGAAGAGAACAAGAAGCTCAAGTTGGAAAAAGAGCATCTTAAGATTGGATTGAGTAAGTTCATAAGAGGCAAGCATCTTCAAAGTGAGCTACTAATGAACACCGTCATGAAGATGAATAGAAGTGGTATTGGATATGTGGAAAATATAGAGAAGAAGAAGGCTCAAGCTTAACAACAACAATCAAAGCCGAAGCTAAAGCCAAAGAGATGCTTTAAGTGTGGACAAGAAGGCCACTTTGCTCATGAGTGCCAAACTCCACCACCATAACCCTTGCCCAAGCATGCTAGACCCTTTGCCTTCAATGCTCACTACATGCTTAGAAAGGATTCTAGTGGAAAGATGAAAGTGATGTTCTTAGGACCTCCCAATAAGAATAGGCCTAAGAAAATTTGGGTTGCAAAGTCACTTGTTGAGAAGGTGAAGGGCCCTCAATAAGTTTGGGTTACTAAAGCTTGATCTCTTGTGTTTAGGTGAACTACAAGACCGGTGGAAGTCATTGGGTTATTGATAGTGGTTGCACACAACATATAACAGGTGATCCTCGTATGTTCACCTCACTAGATGAAGAAGTAGATGGACAAGAAAGAATCATATTTGGAGATAACTCAAAGGGCAAGGTTAAAGGATTGGGCAAAGTGGCAATATCAAATGATCATTCTATCTCAAATGTGCTATATGTTGCTTCATTGAGTTTTAACTTGCTATCCGTTGGACAATTATGTGATCTTGGCTTCCAATGTTTGTTTATCGAGAAGGAAGTTGTTGTATCCAAGAAGGATGATGATTAAGTGATATTCAAAGGATTTAGATACAACAACCTATATCTAGTGGACTTTACCTCCGAAGATGCAAACTTGAAGACTTGCCTATTCACCAAAACAACACTTGGGTGGCTATGGTATAGAAGACTTGCTCATGTTGGGATGAGCTCACTCAAGAAGATAATGAAGAATGACTTGGTGAGAGAGTTGAAGGATGTGAAGTTTGAGAAGGACAAGCTTTGTAGTGTATGTCAAGCCAGCAAGCAAGTTGCAAATACTCATCCAACCAAAGCTTTCATGTCAACCACAAGAGTGCTAGAACTCCTTCACATGGATTTATTTGGACCAACAACATACAAGAGTTTGGGAGAAAATCTTTATTGTCTTGTGATTGTTGATGACTATTCAAGGTATACATGGGTATTCTTCCTTCATGACAAATCCGAAGTTGCATCTTGCTTTAAGAAGTTTGCCAAGAGAGCACAAAATAAATTTGAAGTGAAGCTCAAAAAGATTAGAAGTGACAATGGGAAGGAATTTGACAACACAAACATAGAAGCCTATTGTGATGAAGTTAGAATCAAACATGAGGTCTCCGCAACATA